AACATAAAGTATCGTTAAAATGATTGAATTTTTAATATTCTATCCAATCAAATATTGAGCATTTTCAAACCGTCTGGACATTACAAAAAATCCAATAGGAATCACTTGGTCCTTAACATCCTACAACAACTACAACTAACATCCTAGCTTCTCTGATCCTTCAATTTTACTCAAAATGATACCTGATTAAACTAAATACATACTATCAGATTATCATAAACTTGCAACAGGCCGGATAAAAACATAGCCGGTATATTAGTTGATAAATTCTGTTTATTAAGCTAGGCGTCGCAAATGCAAGAAGGCATGTGTTCGAAGTAGGTATTTTCATTATCTAATAATGTGAACTACGAATAATGTGCATCACGAACAGTTTTAGAGAAACACCTATGTTTTAAAAAAGAATAATAATAAAACCTTTCTTTTACATATTTCCAGTACTGATAATAAAATCGGTCTTGATCATGTTTTTGCATTTTCGCAAGACCAAGACCGCTCAAATGTTGCAAAACCAAGACTGACCCTGTAAGATTTGAGAAAAAACAAGGCAGAGCCAGCGCGACAGTTTTGTGTTTCGTAGTTACTTCGCACTGAGATTTGGAGTGTATGCTTTCTATACCGATATTGATAGAAGTGCCCGCTTCGAATACCGAACTCAAATCCTCGATTCTTTTATAGCAATAAAAGTTGTTGTATTGATTCTATGTACACTTCGCTGTCAGCCCATCTGTTTAACTGTCCGTCTAGAAATCCGTTAATTTTCTCATAAAATTAATATCGAACAGTCATCTGCAGCCTGTTAAAATTGTAAAAAACCAAGCTTCTAAATTAAGGCAATCATAAAATATTTATATTTAAGACTATTATTTAAAAAAAATATTGCAGAAAATTAAAACCTATGGAGCAGGTACTTACCATTGACCTAAAATTATGATTGATTACAGGTAATTAAGGCCAGAATCGTTAATATGTCGATATGACATAAAATGTTTTGTGATAATAAACTTATATTTAATCTGGAAAATTGACTGACGTCATATGGGGAGTTTTTTATTGTGGCATAGGGGTGAACGAGCAGACGGGTCACCTAATAGTCAGTGACTACCACCGGCTATGAATGCCTGCAACTCTAGAGTCACAAGTGCGTTCTCGCCCTTTCAATCCCACCCACCAGATTCAAGACAAAGGAAGCGGAGAAGTATTTTTAGAAAATAATAGTTAAGTTGTTCTTTCTGAAACAACAGTCAAATAAATAGTTACATAAACGAACTCCCAAACTCCCAGCCTGTTGTTCGCCGACGACATCTCTCTTTTGATTGCCGAAGCCGAAATGCCACGGACATAAATGACAAACTGACAACCCTACTTAATGATACAGTAAACTGGATGACTTAACACAATTTGGAAACAAATTACTCAAAAACCAAATTAATTACATTCCATCCACCACAGATATCACAGCTACATATTGAAGAGGTCAATGGTATTCAGCTTACTATTGAAACATAAATACCAATATTAATTGTAAATCACATATACAAAAAAAAAAATCAAAATTATCAACATTCTGCTACGCTCTACGGGAAGTTAAAAAAACCACTGACACAAAAACCGCTCTGGTCACCTACTATGTTAAATTGTAAAAAAATGCCTATGCATCCTCATGGCTGAATTACGGTATCACCCTATGGGGTAACAGCACAGATGCTCCCTCACTACTAATTATGCAAAAAAAAGTTAATACGGATAATTGTAAACATGAACGACACAGAAAGTTGCAAACCTAATTTCCAAACACTAAAAGTACTCTAACCGTTCCTTGTACGTGATATTCTTGAAACATGTAAATTTGACAGAAAACATACAGATTATTACACGAGAAGGGAAGATTTAAATACAAATTATACATTAAGACACAAAAACAGACTAAATTTACTAACGTCCAAATTATAAATGCATGCATCATACCCCCAAAAAAATGTCCATAAAAATATACAATAAATTATCCAATAATATTAAAAATAAAGAAAAATTTAAGACGTTGATCAAAAAATTAAAAGATCTTTTAATCGAAAAATGCTACTATCATTTAAATGAATATCTAAACGACAAATTTGAATAATTAACATAATATATAAATAATAAAATAAAAATAAATAAATAAATATATTATGAGAAAATAATAGGTGTACAAATAAGTTTCCGCCGTTTAACGAAAGATGTCCTCACTAAGAGGTTACGTTAAAATCGTCAGATGTAACATGCGATATCGTGAGTTTGGACATCTAGTAACAACATAAACTTAGAGTCTTAGTGACTCTTTATCCGTATCACATATTTCTTTTTGTGCAAAAATGTCAAGTTTTGTACCGAATAAGCGTCATTTACGGGAACTGTTACTTTACTTCTTTAATTTGAAGAAAACTGCAGCTGAGGCCCATCGATTACTTGTAGAAGCTTATGGTGAAGCTGCTTTGAGCGAGAGAAGTTGTCGTGAATGGTTTCAAAAGTTTAAAAACTGTGATTTTGATGTGGAAGACAAAGAACGTAGTGGAAGACCGAAATCGTACGAAGACATGGAATTGGAAGCATTATTGATGGAAGATTCGCGCCAAACGCAAGAAGAACTCGCACGTACATTACAAGTGACTCAACAAGCAATTTCTCATCGTTTGAAATCGTTGGGAATGATTCAAAAACAAGGAAATTGGGTTCCACATGAACTGAAGCCGAGATATGTTGAACGCCGATTTTGCACATGTGAAATTCTTCTTGCCAGGCAAAAACGAAAGAGTTTTTTACATCGTTTAGTTACTGGTGATGAAAAGTGGATTCACTTCAATAACCCAAAGAAGAAAAAATCATGGGGACCACCTGGCCATGCTTCAAAATCGACAGCCAAACCGGATATTCATGGAAACAAACTCTTGCTGTCTTTTTGGTGGGATCAGCTTGGTGTCATTTATTATGAGTTGCTTAAACCGGGCGAAACTATCACTGGAGCTCTCTATCGAATACAGTTGATGAGATTGAGCCGAGCACTCAAGGAAAAACGCGCCCATTACTACTCTAGACATGACAAGATTATTCTCCTACATGATAATGCTCGTCCGCATGTTGCGGTGCCGGTCAAGAATTACTTAGAACCAAGTGGTTCCAACTGGTGAACCAATTGGGAAGTGCTACCTCATCCGCCTTATTCACCAGACATTGCCCCGTCTGATTATCATCTATTCCGGTCGATGGCACATGGCCTGTCTGAGCAGTACTTTACATCATATGAAGATACTAAAAATTGGGTCGATTCGTGGATAATTACAAAAGATGAAGAGCTCTTTCGACGTGGTATTCGAATGCTGCCAGAAAGATGGGAAAAAGTAGAGGCTAATGATGGACAATACTTTGAATAAAACATAATGTACTGTTCTTTCAGAGTAAACCTCTATATTTTTGTAAAAAACGGCGGAAACTTATTTGTACACCTTTAAATTGAATAATTTATATTAATAATAAGTAATATACTATAAAAACTAATCAATATATAATAATAATTTACTATAATATAATATTTACTAAATTTAATTAATACGTGAGCAATAAAAGAAATACGTACTATTTACATTACATATGATACACTACACTACATTTCAATATGATGATAGAATGTTTGCTTTTCTCTCCATATTTTGCCGTGCCCGACAGGGTCCATAATTGTTTCTATTAACATTTATAAGACCTGTGTATACATTATGGAGTGCAATAAACGAATTGAATTGAATAATTTTTGAGAAGCGTTTTACGAGATGGACGAAGTATCTACATACTCGTACAAGCTTATACGGAATGAGAATAAATATAGAGAATACGTAAAAGTTATACAGCATAGGCGTACATATGACATGACACTTTTAATATAATTGTTGGTAAGTTTTCTCGTTGATCAACAAGTTCTACATAAACATAAACGCACCCCGAGTAAAAGTTAACTAGTAAATTATGATGAGAGGACGAGGCGTCGTCTTTATAAACTGTGATAAAAAAAAAATTATTCAAGTTTATGTCCGTACCGTACCGTATTCTACCGTGAATGGTACTTAGACGACACTTGTACGTTTTAGGTGACTAATAGTTACTTCAATCATTGGCTATTTGTCATGTCAAGTACAAGAGTAGATTTTCATCTTAAATACGTCTGCAGAAGTGAGATAATGCTTTCTTAAGTGAGCAAATATTTTTAACAGACTTCAAAGTCTCAAATGGAGGCAGTTCTCAGTTCCGTTGTATTTTTATTAATATTTGTTACCTCATTATTCCTTATTTATAAACCAATTTAAAAAGTTATTTAACCAATGTTAATTATAAGCAGTAACCAATGTTAATTATAAGCATTAATCAAATCCATACTTATATTATCAATGTGAAAGGTATAGGTATAGGTTAGTTTTACCGCTATAAACGACATACACGGAGCCGCGAGCAGACCTATTTCTTAGCATTCCATGGATTCACCGTGCGGGTGCCGGGTCCATCGCGTGATAGATGGGGGCAAAACATGCGACTTTGACAGCAGCTGGGAATTGCGACCCAGGAATAGGTTTAAGGAGTACTCCTTGCGTCGCGTCATCGCTCACCTCCACTGTCTGCTATGTACCCCCTCTACCTAACCATATTTGATACGAGCCTAGCAATGCCGCTTTGGATATTCACTCGCACTGGCACCATCAGTTCTACTAGTACTACACGCTTAATTGACATTGCATAAAGAGATATGTCTGGACTGGCCGAGGCACAGATATACTCTAGTATTCTATAATGATTTTCATATATGTATGCTAATAATGTCCAGTCACTGGCGGTATTTGTAATTGAGTACGGCTTTTTAAAGCCTTTTTTGTTGAGTCTTCCTTTACAAACTCGATGTTAATTCTTATGTTTGTTGTTATTCCTTTTTTCTCTCTCGCCAGCGAAAAAAAGTATTAAATTTTTTTATATATTTTCAGGTCTTAAAGAACCGTATGATGAATATGACTTCGTTATTGTTGGAGCTGGGACAGCCGGTTCGGTCTTGGCCAGCAGATTGACTGAAGATAAGAATGTAACGGTATTGCTGCTCGAAGCTGGCAAACCAGAGATGCTGTTGACGGATATACCATCCTTGGCACCTTACTTTCAAAGTACGGATTACACGTGGCAATATTATATGGAGAAGCAGCCAGGAGTATGCACGGGTACGTTTTAAAATAATCACATATTGACGATACAATACTTTTAAGAGCGTTTTGCAGCACAGCCCGACCACAGTTGAATTTGTATCGAATTTACACTAAGCGCCTTTGCCTCTTCCTTGTTATTTATTTGTTTAGATACTTACATTGCTATTTTAGTAGTTCAGGCGCTTAATGCAAATTGTTATTGGAGATCATTTTCAATTTTAGTGAGCGTTTCTCTTGATATATATCATTGAAAAGAATAAAGAACACAAGAGGAACATTTTTCCGGTTTATATTTTAGAAAAGTTGAGCATCCTACCTATATATACACACGTGGCCAGGCTGCAACGTATACGCTAATTCCCGGACACAAACAATTGCTTTGTTAGCATGATACATTTGTGGTACATTTAATCTATATTGTTGGTTCTGCAAGAACAATAAAAGAACATTTAATTGATACGTCTATAAATTACGAAATAGACTGGAGCTGGGCTGTGATAGCTTAATAAGCTAAACAGAAAGAATTACTACTAAACATAAAACAGATTCAATGTTTTCATCACTTTTATAATGTAATTGGTTCTTTTTAAATAATTATTTGAGTACAATTAAATCGATGGTAAGCATGAAAATATATTCGCTCGCAATCCTTAGGACTCTTCATATAAATATGAAGTTGACTAAAATACAAGCGGGACCGTTGGTAACACAAGGATCGCACTCAAAGCTCGGAGTTGGTCACTCTTAAGATAGATATTCTTCTATAATGTTTGCTTCAATGTGTAATCCAAATTATACTATTTTGACCACCATTGACTAGACATTGATCTTAAATTCTAGGCATGCTCAATGGCCGCTGTTTTTGGCCACGAGGCAAGGCCGTCGGTGGCACTAGTGTGATCAACTACATGATCTACACGCGCGGAAGACCTCAGGACTGGGACAGAATAGCTAAAGACGGAAATTATGGATGGTAAATATAATTTATTTTCTGTGTGACGAGTACATGTCAGACATAGCTAAATGATAAATCAGTACCAAAAACAATTTAAAACAGGACATTTTTAGAGTACAAATTTTTAGTGTTTTTGTCCCCATTATTTAAAACCACAGCAATCTATTAAGTAGGTATTTGTATAGTATGTAAATACGAAGCAATTAATATCATTTCATATAGAATTCATCGTTTAAATATAAACTCCAAATGCAATATTTTACTATTCAACAGGCTATAGTCGATTATACCTGACTAAGGAGTGATGGACTGAAAAAACTATACATAAATGTTTTATTAAGTTCTTATTATTTTGTTTAAAAAATGTACAAAAAGAAAGATAAACAACAATAAATGGATATTTATCAATGCAGATTTTGTAGGTATTTGATGTGAATTTATTGCTCGGCGCAGGCGTGGGGAATATGCCAAGGCACTTACACTCTGGCGGGCAAAATTTTAACAACCTTTAGTAACTAATGTATTCGATTTACGCGAAATTTTACGGAAATTAAATAAATTCTTGCTTCTAAAACTTAACTCGTGTCTTTTCTAAAAAATAACACATTTCTATTATTTTCAGGTCATATAATGAAGTCCTCAAATACTATATGAAATCTGAGAGAGCAGCAAATCTCGGCGGCATAGAAAAGTTACCATACAGAAATCGAGACGGAGTTCAACCAGTGGAGTTTGTTCCAATAAAGTAAGTGATGCTATTTATGAATGATCTCAACACAGAACATAAATTTAGTTATTCGAAGGTTATTGTTCATGCTTTCTAATGAGTAGATGACATGACAAGTTTCTTTTTCCTTTTTGTTTTATTCTAGTAGGTTTAATTATTATGATTATTTTGAACTATAGCCTACTTGCGGATACTATTACTTATTTTTAAGCTATATTTGTTCCTTGATTAATGTAAATAGTTACAGATTCTGCTTATAGTCTTTATAATAATAATAAAATTCTCACACATTTCACACACGACCGTCTGATCCCAAACTAGGCAGAGTCTGTACTATGATAACCAGACTGCTGATAAACATACTTATATATTTCTAAATACATACAATAGATAAAGTACACTCAGACACAGAACAAATGACCGTGATCATCACACAATTATTTATTCTGGGTAGGAATCGAACCCACGACCTATGGCGTAGCAGTCAGGGTCACTAACCACCTTACCAACAGGCCAGTCATATACGTATATATCATATATGTATATATCATATACGTAAATATTAAAATAATCTTGTCTAGCATTTGCCAAATAAGAGACAATCCCTACTAATATTATAAATGCGAATGTAATTCTATCTGTCTGTTCAGCTTTCATGGCTAAACCGCTGACTAGATTTTAAATAATCGCGAAATTATTTTGAACATAGGCTACTTTTTACCGCAAGAACCGACTATTATGCGGCCGGATTCGCGGGCTAAAGCTATTAGATATAACGTGAGTGATCGCTGCAGTAACGAATTACAAGTTACAACAATATCAAGTCTAGTTTACACATAATACGCATCGCATAAATGACGTTGATGCGTCATTTTACATTTCTTTATTTAAATAATTCTTAAATATTTAGAATATACCTAAGTTTAAGTTGTAAGTACTGAACTACTTTTGTTGTCAGTTCATTAGTTAACTCAGCTTAAAATCCACGTTGAGGTAACCGATTTTTAAAATCCATTTCGATCTAAATATTATTTCAAATAGGACAAATATTTTGACATTTTAGTATATTTTGATTCACTTGACAAGACTTATCCAAGCTGCATCTCAACTCATCTTCATTACGTATAAGCACCATCACGCCCATTATCGTCACTGAATAAATAAGTTGTAACATTTTCAGAACGAAATTACTAAACACTTTTCTGGAAGCCGGCAGAACCCTTGGTCATCCTACAATAGATTATAACTCCCCATACGAACTAGGTTTCGGTAATGTACAAACAACTACAAGTTATGGACGCAGGTTCAGTGCAGCTAAAGTGTTTTTACAAAAACACAAGAGCAGGCGCAATCTGCATATACTTCCGGAGAGCACTGTTACTAAAGTGCTGATAAACCCACAAACTATGACGGCTTATGGTGTTGACTATGTCAGACACAATGTGAAGCATACGGTAAGGGTACGTAAAGAAGTTATTCTTTCAGCTGGTCCAATTGCTTCACCACAGTTACTGATGCTTTCTGGAATAGGGCCCAGAGAACATTTACAATCAGTCGGCGTTCGCGTGTTAAAAGACATGCCAGTTGGACAAACACTTTACGACCATATATGTTTTCCAGGAGCTGTATTTGAACTGAATAGCACTGGGTTAAGTTTTAATGAAGTAAGAATTGTAAACATACCTAATGTAGTGAAATGGCTTCGAAATGGTAACAGTGAAATATCCACACCAGGTGGTGTTGAAGGAATTGGATATATTAAAACTCCAGTATCCGACGATCCTGAACCTGTGCCTGATATAGAACTAATTAATATTGGGGGTTCAATTACTTCGGATGGAGGAGGAGGTAGCAAAGCAGTCCGAAGAGGCATGAGAATTCGAGACGATGTTTTTGATCTAGCTTTTGGGGAAGTCGAAAAATTAAGTAAAGATACATGGAGTGCATTTCCTATGTTACTACATCCTAAATCTTTTGGACGAATTGAACTGAAAGACAGTAATCCTTTTAGTCATCCAAAGATGTATGGAAACTACTTGACTCACCCACAAGATGTTGCCACGTTTGTAGCTGCTATTCGACATATACAAGCACTTGCTGCAACGCCAGCTTTTCAACGGATTGGGGCAAAAATGGTGAAGGCAGATTATCCTTTGTGTCGTGGAATGGTTTACGACTCCGATGAATACTGGGAATGTGCCTTACGAACACTCACTGCTACATTGCATCACCAAATAGCTACATGTCGTATGGGTCCTGTTGGCGACCCACTAGCCATCGTAGACCCTGAGCTACGCGTCCACGGTGTACGAAGGCTGCGCGTTGTAGACTCTAGTATAATTCCAAGAACAATTTCCGCCCACACTAGTGCTCCAGCAATGATGATCGGGGAGAAAGCAGCAGATATGATAAAGTGGTCATGGAACTCTCTCTAGCAATCATTGTAGAAAGTAACAATTACAAATAGAACACGATTAAAAATATATTATCAAATTACTTTGTTTATGTTTTGGCCTTCATAATATTGCTATAATTAATAACAACCGATTTTTCTTAGAAATGTATATTACATTTTTTCCTCAAGAAATATTTCTTTGCGATCTGTTTGTTTGTTTTTTAAGTTCTCTAGCAGAATATGGGAAGAAAATTGCGCGTATATGTTGTTGCGTGCCGTTAACATATTTTTTTAATTCCATTCTTTTTTTTCAGGATACGTTTTCAAATAAATAGGGAATGTTACTGAAAGTGCTTATGAATTCACATTTTTAAAGTTCCGTGTGTCCAATATAACCGTTTCCAACACAGTCAAATTAAATTATTTAAACGGCAGGTCTGTCGCGCCAATCCAAATACACTGTAACTTTTGAAAACGACTTTTGACTTTGAAAGCTTTGTTACAGATTTTTACCATGTTAAAACCCTAATTTCAATACAGTATTTTTAGATTATTGTCTCTTCTAAAATACATATAAGTGTTGATCAGGGGTAATAAACCGACGTAAAGAAACATAACACTGTAAGTCGAGTTACGATCTTTTGGATTGGCACGGCAGAGGTATAACTGTACATTTTAAATAGTTAACAGTAAATTAAAAATGAGTTGACCGTTACTTGAGATTTATAATCACATTCATCAAATATTCTGTAACGATTTAAAGGCATAACAAGGCAACGGTCACAACATTCAGAATCCCTAAAATATGAAGAAGACTTTGTGTATAGCTCATAATTTCAAACATCTAAGCAGTGATGCAATGGCTATAAATATAATTAATGTGACGGACTAAAGTAAATGGTTTAATCGTGTCTTCAAATCTGTCCTTGATGTCGGGTTTCGGTGACGCATAGAAGCGGTTCATTAACCTTAAGGCAGGTCATACCCAGAGACAGATTTCTCTAGTCCTACTCGGATAGAGATAAGTAACGGAAAAGCACAAAAAAATGCTTTAATTTAACCTCCTTTGTGAAGGTCCACATTGTCATGCCAAAAAAAAAAAATATTTTGTTACAATTGTATGAAAGTACCTTTATAGGCAGGCCTGGTTTTTTAAAGTTGATGAGATATTTTACTAAGGAATGTTACGCAACGCTTATTACGCTACCGCCTGAACTGTTCACGAATGAAACCACGGAAAAATGCTAGTACATGTATGAATACAGACATTCCATTTTTAAGAAAAAATATAGCTATCAAAGAACATACGCACAGCCATCGTTACTTGACCAAAATATATTTAATATAAAAAAAATGTATTGAAATATATGTATTGGGCATACCTTGAAGCAATTAAGTTTGTATGGATTCTGCTGTTCTTGATAATAAACATACAGAATTTAAACGCCTACTGAATTTCTTAAAAACTCTTCATTATTAAGTTATTGATTTTTCAACAGGCGCTAAATCATACGTTGAACTACTTTACTTAATACAAGTAACACTAATATTAGGTACAAATTATTTTCATGCTTCATATCTGTTCAACGTCTATCAATGTCACTATCATAGCAGGTCAGCGAGGGCAGCACTTTTGCGTTGTAAAGTCGGGGTCATCCGAAAAATTTCTGTCATAATCTGTTGGATGTTCTAGGTGCGCACGGCGACATAACCTTTCTTAACAAGAAGCCTACTTAGTATACGAAACGCTATTTGACTTAAGCTTAAACACTTTACCTCTCAACTAGTAAATTAGATGGAGATTTTTACATTACAAAGCAAAGTTCAATGGCTATAAAGCCTTTTTTTCTCAGACTTAAGAGAATAAAGGAAAAACTAAAATAAAAAGCACGATGACCTTTTCAGCACTTGAACCGCGTTATATTTCTTGTACAGGTCGGTCGGTGTAAAAATTGTGGAATTGTGTCTCTGTTGGTCTATAGCATCTAAACTAGTAATTTATGTTGCTTACAGCTGGTGAGTAGACTCTTAAATAGACGTTTCTAAAATATACAGCACTGTTGTCTGTGTATACATATGTTTATATATGAATATTTTACATATGTTCATCATCTTCAACAGTATCCAAAGCACAAATCTAACTCAAATATCTTTCATTTCATAAAAAATTAAAATTATTTGGAATCGTCTCTTGTGTAGACGAAAGTCATAGATCAACACTCACAATGGCAACAATCTCTGTTTTGTCAAATATTGAGCAAACTAAATATATACGTATCAAAAATCTCTTATATGCCTGTGCCGATCAACAACCGCCCATGTCCAAGGGGTTGAGCCTCATGAGAAGAAAGGATAAACGAACTCACGGCCACTCTTTTTAATCAACAGATAATGACATCATTAAATATACACAACATTGTTTCGATGTGTGCCAGTATGTAAGGCAATGAAGAGAAAACAAGATATAGAAAATGGAATAAAAAAGAAAATGAAGTAAAACATAAAAAATGGAAACTTAAATAAAAACACACTAGTCCACTACGAAATAGCCTGAGCTAAACTAATCCCAAGCATTCTTGTCTTCTATGTAATCTACAATTGAGTAATAAGCTTTCTGACACAGTCCAAGTTTCATTGTGGATTTAAATATGTTTATCCTAAAATCTTGTATAGTATTTGGGTTTTATTATAGAATCGGATGAACAACGATAGCCTAAATTTTCAATTTTTCGAATCGCTCTCTTTTGCAACCCAAAACTTGTTTAAATGTCGGCAGCATTCCTACACAGTAGAATAACGTACATTATGCTATGAAAATAACTGAAGTAAAGAAGTCGTGCTGTATCAATATCAGTCAATTCTCGAATTTTTCTAACTGCGTACGCTGCTCAGCTGAGTCTACTAGATAATTTATTTATATGTGGGGCCCCACTGTACTTTAGAATCTAATGTTATTTGTATCCACAAAGTTTAGCTCGACATCCTTAGTGATCGAAGTGGTTTTCACTGGCTTGGTGAACCGTATACACTTGATTGTTTTTTTCATTCAAAAGCAAATTGTTAACGTCAAACCAATAAACCACTGTTAAAATGGCGCTGTTTACGTCTGTGAAATTAGTAAGTGTGCGTTTGAGTCTAAATAATAATGATGTATCATCTGTAAACAACACCATCTCGTGATTATGGTTGACAAGGTGACGTGTCGTTAATATTTACTAAAAACAAAAATGGGCCGAGAATAGAACCTTGTAGAAGATCCAATTATACCACAGGATCCGGAAATCGCTCACTGTTCATATCAACTTTCTGAACCTATTAGTTAGATATGAAGCAAAAAGTTCCCGTGCTTTAGTTTTGATACCATAGTCCTGTGATTTCCTGATCAGCGTTTAATGAACAACACAATCAAAAGCTTTAGTCAAATCGCAAAAGACACCTAGAGAATCGTGGGCATCCTCCTAGGCACCAAATATGTTTTTTATAAACTTAACACTAGCATTAGTAGTTGTGAAGGGACTCACAGTAAAACCAAATTATCTAGTGTAATAAATTATTATTATTAAAATTATTTTAATACATTATTTTTTCAAAAATTTTGCTAAATACTGGTAGTAACCAGTATTTAGCAAAAAAATTTAAAAAATAATGTATGAAAAATAATTGAAATAGGCCTAAAGGTAGATGGTCAGAGGTCAGATGTACTGCCAGATTTGAATAACGGAATAATTTTACTGGACTTCATTCTTATGAATATTTTATTATATTTTTTTAAAAAATATAATATAAATTTATAAATATTTTATTCCGAACGTCCATGTTCCGATTTTCAATGGCCCGATTTGATAATACCTAAGAATTATAATGGCTATTATTAAAATTTACGAAATTTATTTTACTGAAAGTCCTAAATGCGATTTGTTTGTTTTTCGTTATGTTTTGTTTTTCGTTCGAAAAATCAAAAGCTCTATAGGTTCTCGTTCCCAAACTGACATTCCGATTGATTTTCAATACTTCGAATAAACTGCTGAAATTAGAGTTCTGATTCAGTTAATATAATATTTAGTTACGTATATATATTCAAAATATATATGTAACGTATAATGTAATTTAAAAACGTCTACTTTGGTATTAATATTTGTGCATTATTATTATTTTTGTGTTCTTCTTTCTTCTTCTCCTTATATTTCTGCCTACCTCCGTCGGGTACCATCTGTAGTTAAGGGGTTAGTTGGGTTAGGTCAGAACAGTGGCGATTAACGCCAGATCCCCTCTATTGTTGGTGAATCATTTGGGTTTGGATAGGTTAGAACTGTGACCAGTAAAATAAAATATTTTATTTGAAAGAAATTAGAATTTTTCATGTTTCTAATTATCATTAAGTCGGACTTTTTGTTATTAAATAAAATACCGAGTTTCAATAGATCGCTATTGAAACTCGGTATTTTGAGCATAGTAATCATAAACGTTAGGAATATTGAAATTTTTAAATTATAAAAATAGGATGAATGATAAATCGGATTTGTTATCGTAGGAATTTTGAACCATTCGGAATTATGAAAATCGGTATTTTGAAATTCGTATTTGCGACGGACGGAATAAAGTTTTTTGTAATTCTGTAGTGTACCCCATTTAAATGGCAGATGTGTTAAAAACATGTAAGTGTTTACAGCTATGTTAATAGGTATAATAGTCCAGGATAGTATCAGGATTAATAGAAAAAAAAACTTAGGTGAATGACCGGTAGTCTTAGGAATTAACGTTTAACCCGGTAGTACCAAATAACTTTCCTTATATTTTTTTTACTGTTTTCTTTTCTATTCGTGACTAACTATTGCTAACTGGACTTTGATTTGTGCTTTGGATGCTGTTGAAGATGACGACATATATAAAACAGTGCTGTATATTTTAGAAACGTCTAGAGTCTTCTCACCAGATATAAGTAACATAAACTACTAGTTTAGATGCTATAGACTAACAGAGACACAATTTCACAATTTTTGGCATCACTCCATGACCGATCTGTACAATAAATATAACTCCGTTCAAGTGCCGAAAAGTTCATCGTCCTATTTATTTTAGTTTTCCTTTTTTTCTCTTAAATCTGAGATCTCTTAAGGCTTTGTAGTCATTGAACTTTGCTTTGTAATGTAAAAGTCTCCATCTGATTTACTAGTCGAGAGGTAATGTGATTAAGCTTAAGTCAAACAGCGCTTCGGATATTAAGTAGGCCTCTTGTTAAAAAAGGTTACGTCGCCGTGCGCACCTAGCATATCCAACAGATTATGACCGACATTTTTCGGATGACCTTGTCTTTACAAAGCAAAACTGCAGCCCTCTCTGACCCGCTATGATAGAGTGACATTGATAGACGTCGAACAGATATGAAGCATAAAAATAATTTGTACCTAATACGAGTATTAGTGTTACTTGTATTAAGTAAAGTAGTTCAGCGTATGATTGAGCGCCTGTTGAAAAATCAATAACTTAACAATGAAGACTCTTTAAAAAACTCAGTAGGTGTTTAAATTCTGTATGTTTATTATCAAGAACAGCAGAATTCATACAAACTTAATTGCTTCAAGGTATGCCCAATATATATATTTCAATACATTTTTTTTATTTTGGTCATGTTATTATGGCTATGCGTATGTTCTTTGATATCTATATTTTTTCCTTCAAAATGGAATGTCTGTTTTAATACATGTACTAGCACTTCACTGTTGTTTAAAAAAAAAACAGGCCTACCTATAAAGGTAATTTCATACAATTGTAACAAAAGAATTTTATATATATATATATATATATATATATATAATTTTTGGCGTGACAATCCTTCACAAAGGAAGTTAAATGAAAGCAATTTTTTTGTCACTTTCCGTTACTTATCACTATCCGAGTTATAGTAGTGTATTTATATATATCCGAGGTATATAGTTGTAGTTATATTTTTTTTTTTTTTTTTTTTTTTTTATTTTATATTTATTTATTTATTTTTATTTTTCTTTGACGACTGGATGGCGTAGTGGTTTGTGTAACGGACTGATATTCCAAAGGTCGCGGGTTCGATTCCCGCTCAAGTCAAACATTTGTGTGCATGAACATTTGATGTTTGATTTGGTCTGGGTGTTTCTATGTATAATATGTATGTATTTACAAAAAAAAAGTATATATGTATTTATATCAGTTGTCTAGTACCCATAGTACAAGCTCTGCTTAGTTTGGGACTAGATGGCGTTGTGTGTATGTGGTAGAATATATTATATTATATATTATATATCTATACATCTAATAACTTTAAACGCAAGCAATTCTCAGGACACAGTGCGGTATCCGCGTATGGCTCTGACCGCCAATATCCCTTGGGGGCGCCAGAGGCGCGCCCTATTCGGGGCGGTCAGAGCCGCCACCCACACCGGTGCACCATACATCATGGATCGGACAACCCCGCGTACAGCCGCCTCGTGGGAACTAACATCGTCTTTTACACACATTGCCGGCAGCGCATTCGGTATTGTATAGAATGCCTAGGCAAAAAGGCAAAGTATAAAATGAAAAATATTTCATACATTGCCTAGACGCCTTGGGTGTTCTATACATTGCCTAGGTATTGTATAGAATACCTGAATTATACAGATTGCCGGTAACATATATACACCGTGAAATTGTAGTTGCCGTCTATATTAACACAGAAGATAAAGATATTTAGTAAAATTTATGAGACACCCGCATTTTAGTTTAGTATAGAATGGTATTAAAATATTGAGTAATTAGCATCACAAAGTTGTCTCGAGAACCCACCGGTCTTTTATCTAAGTTTTTTATGAATTCTGATACTATCCTAGACTATTATACCTTATTAGATAGCTGAGAATATGTACATGATTTTTCAATTTGCAGTTTAACTGTCATAGATTTTATGTATAATATTTCTTAAAAAAAACTACTTGGCTCAGTTTGTTAACTATAATTTTAGTAATTAAAATTATAAAACAATTTATCAACTAAAAAAAGCATAAAATAAAGGATATACACCTTTGTTCATTACATGTCTGAAATTTTTATGTACCATAATACTTGTAAAATGTGTGCAAATAAAAAAATATCTATCTATCTCTAAGTTTAAAAAAATTGTAATACGCCAAATATCAGCGACTTTTATAAAAATCTTAAAAGTTCAATTTCTTGAAAATGGTTAGGTTTGGGATATGGTATTTCATAGTGCAATCTATCAGAAATGATGGCAACTACAATCCCTTAAAGTATTTAGGTCGACTTAACCAGTAACCCTGTATATGTATATATAATCTGAATTTCGGAAACGGCTCCAACGATTTTCATGAAATGTTGTATGCAGTATATATGTACAAGGTATGAGGGAGGGCCTCCCCTCCGGCCGCCATTTTGTGTTATAGTGCGTAGACTGTTTACACGGAATACACATGTAGTTATTACTTTTATGCTTTACCTACGGGGAATGACCTTAACCTTTGACAGCTGATTGCATAAAAAGTTTAATTTTACGGCAGAAAATTGCAATGAGTTTCGACTCAGAATGATGTCTGAATACACTATTTCAGTATTCGTTACGACGTCCCTTTCACCGTGTATATATATAAATAAATAAATAAAAAGCTATTTATTCTACTACTAAATTATTTAACAATACTTGATAAGATTATAGTAATGTATTGTATGTATAAAAGTAATTTGCTTGGGCTAAATATTAAATAACATTGTAATGAATTTGATAACAACTAGTTTGTGGTGCTAAATATTAAATAATCTTTCTATAAATAGTATAATTATTAATTAATTGTGTTAGATTAAATATATAACATTGCAATGAAGTGTATATTAATTAATTAATTGTGCTAAATAATAAATAACATTTAGTATTATCTTTCATCATTACCATAAATAATGTTTTTTTTAAAATATTAATTTTAATTTCAACAATAGTTGAAAAATTGATTCATTCTGTATCATATCATTTTAAACATTAACTATATGTGTAACATTGCATGCATATTTATAAAACTATATATAAATTAAATATATAACATGTTCATTAACATATCTTATTATTATTATTTAAAAAGATGGTTAAGTCGATGTCAGCGTAAGTACAAAAAGTCTCTTTAGAAATCGAGAAGATTTGTTACTTTATTGTCGGAATAGGAACCCCTCTTCCATAAAAAAAAAGAATAAAAGAACCGCTTATGTTTTAAATAAGTCAGTAGTTTGTACTAGCAGGAACTACTGTAACTTAAAATTTGTCAATACAACATTATTTAAATGCGCCAAGCGCCTTCATTTTAACTCGTTCAAATACTTTTAAAAGAAATCCATCTGACCATCCATCATTCAGAAAACCATCTCATGGTTGAACAAGTCTGATGGAAGAAAGTGCGCAATAAGTTTGTATATCTACTCTATTATCCGTCAATCGCGTACAGGTGAGACCGGTTGCTGTTTTATACTTCTAAAATATGATCATTGTTTCTTTCTTCTAAAACCATGTATCAGCAAGTTCCGCTGTGGTGTTATTAGGTCCTTTTTCCGGTTCCAGAATAAAATTATTTTCTAAAGATACTAATTAATTTAGAAATTTTATATATCAACTTTTAATTTGGTCTACAAATAACCTATTATAATATTTTTTTAAGTATATCTAAAGGTTTTACAGTTACTTCTGTTATTTTTATCGAACATAGCAATAACCAATTAATTATTCTTCGCATACCATAACTAAAGATGATAATAATAATATGTTATCTACAACAAATTCATTAATTTGGCATTGTACGTATATATTTATGATAACAAAAACCTCGCCAACATTACCTTGCACGTTTCGCTGAATATTTATTTATAAATTTATCATTCTAGTATAATATGTACATATTAGTATACATATTTATATATAAAGTTAATTGCATTTTCCGATGTTTTTTCGAGTGAAAGTAGGAATAAAACTAGAGTACTAAATACGAAAAAAGCTTACAATATTAAACTTAAACTATTTTAACTCAAACGTCAGTTTAAAAAATAAATCCGTTATGGTTGAACCGGTTGATACAAACATATCAACTTATACACAGCTCAGACGTAACTCGATCACCGCTAAGAACAGTGTGCACATCCAAGAAACCATGAAATGGAAAATATTATCCTTAATATATTTACAAATTTTAATAAGTGCTACTTTAAGTTATAATAAAGAAGCTACCGGGGCTGTTGAAACAAATGACGACGCTGAACCAACTGTCTGTAGAAGTTCATGTGGTAAATACAACAGAGAGAAAAGAGGAAAACGTAATGGTGTTCCATGGAAAAGTCGCATTTTAGATGTTATGTTGAGCACTAAAATGCTACCTTTGATGCCAGATGCACCAGACATACTTTCATTCTTGAGAGATAAATACGAGCTGCCTAAAGGTATTTACGATTCTTTAATACTTTAGTATATCAAAAAGTTGTTGTGATAAATGTTCAATTCTTATCAATTCTTTTCGTTTTCATATATCCGATCCGATTTATTTTAAACTGAAAATACATATAATTAAATGAGTGTTCACATTGGTATTGTAGGTACTGTATATGATTCAAACCTGAAATCTATACATTCTGGCATTATAATTTATGTCCAGTGTGCTACTACCTCTAAATGTATAGAAAACTATTTATTTGTATACCATTTTTAAAAGAGTCGTATCAGATTATATGTCAGATATGTAACGTACAAAGGGCTGCCTTATTGTTAAGTGCAATTTCTTCCAGGCAACCTTAAGATGCGTCTAACATGTTTACTGAACTGTATAACATTTTGAGATGTAAATTTTATTTACCTCGGACAACCATGAGGCAAATTGTTTATAATCTGATGTCAATGAACTTGAACTTAGGTCTTCGAACTTTGACGTCTTATTTAAAGTAGCCTACATTAATAGTGTTTGGACAACAGCAACTGTACTAAACAGATGTCATAATTTCTTTTATAATACTAATACTTCTAAAAATGAAGAATAGTCAGTATGTAGAAGTAATGTACCAGGGGGCCTACCATAAACTTTTCGAATAACTACCAAGTTTAGAGCAGTTCAACTTTACAGGTAACCTGACAGGTTTTCTATTTGTACCATGGACCTTTACAGCTGAATTGTAATGTATCAATTTCTGACCTTTTCTTTTATTTTTTACGTGTGGAAACCCGTAATCGGAATGTCGAAATCGGACCGACTAAGACCACACGGTGTGTCACTCTTCGCCTGTAAACCCCTCCTAGCGCCTGCCCGCAACGGCACGGGCACCACCTTCGGGAACATTCTCGCGACGTGCGGCACACGCTAACACGACTAATTTTATATTTCGACGATCTACATATTCTGCATACTGTTTTTTTTTAAATTAAGGAATAAAAATGTAATGTGCGTGGCACATATTTATTGCTTTTACACATTTATGACGTAGTGGCGCAGAAAGTTGTATTAAAAGTGGAACTTGTCCGTGCACAAAGGCCGAACTAAACAAAACATCAACACTCGAAACTTATAAATAGCACTTTCAATTAACTTTTTCAAAGAGTAAAAATAATTTTTATTATGAATAAAATAAAGGGCATTTAAGAATCTAACAAAATCATGTATAATTTCTTACATTTATTCTTTATCATATACATTTATCATTTATCAGACTTTTTTGAGGACTAACAGGCTAGAAATATAAATTGTAGAAAAGCAATCAAAGGTTTTACCATAACAAGTAGTAGGGGTATGGGTAGAAACCTTCTTAATGGTTTTCTCGTTGTACTTAGTACTTAATTACTCTCACATTTAATAATCACAGCTTTCATTAAAAAAACTTAAAAATCAGAATAAGCAACCTAAAACTGGTTATTAAAATGTTCATAATAGCGTGGCACAATATTTTTTTTGAACCAATTCTAACAGACCTTGTTTTTTTCTGTCACTTATCGGTATATTAAACGTATAAGCAGGTTTTAAAGATACTTCTTCTATATTTATATTGTTCTTTAGTCGCGTTGTATTTTTTCGTCCTTGTTTGCTTGATAATGTTTCATCAGCCTTTACTAGTCCACTGCTGGACATAGGCCTCTCTTTAGAAAGGAGGTTTTGGCCTACTATACCACGCTGGCCCATACCAACCCGCCTGGGGTTGGTATAGGGTTTGTTGGGGTGCTGGGCTAGAAAACCTCCTCGTGGTGCACCCTGGAAACGCTGGCGATGGTACTGTTTCCTCCTTGTCCTCTTGGAGGAGAGGATTATCGCCAGCGGCCAATATTCTAGCAGAAGAGGCAGCCGTTCATCGGCTCTCGGGCAAGGCCTGGTCCAGCAGGGTGGGCGTGTCTGCCGGTTGCCCTGCTGGCTCTTCGCTCTTCGGAGCATGGAGGAGGAAACCTCGGTAAAAAACCTGATGGCGGGGCCCTGTAGGGGCCACAGTTTCTCCGCTGATAGCGGTGGAGAAAGGAGGACGGGCTCGGCGTGTACTCACACTACCACCGAGCAGGCAGGGGGACGTAGTCTCCCTGTCAACCGTTGGCATATCGCAATCCCGAGAAGAGCGCTGTGGTTAAGTCTCGCGGCTCTGATCGGGGGCGAGGGTCTTGGCTTAACCGCCCGGACCGCGAGGAAGATAACCTCTCTAAAAAATTCCCCGAATCCCGTGTTCTGGTGCGTGGCCAGGGGATGCATGGCTGATGGGAAGTTCAGTCGCGAGCGCACTCCAAGCCGAGGTACCTGCGGACCCCTCGGTTGGGTTAAAAACTTACGCTTGCCCGGGTAATGGGGGATCTCTGCCCGGGTGGACCTTTAGTTCTCCCCCACTCGTGGGATTTATTATGGATGATTTGAATTTAAACCAAACAAAACGATCGGAAACAATCAAACAACGGAACAAGGCAAGCAAAACGGACACTGCAACGAAAGGTGCAAGGGAGAAGAGGAACAGTGGAGTCGATGGTTCGTCCACTGAGGGTGAGGTGGCGTCAGGAACGCCCATCTCGATGGGGCTCCCAGAAGTCAGTCTGACTCTGATCTCTGGGAGCCGAAGAGCATCGGATCGGCTGCGTTCCGGATCCGCCGCTTCGTCGGATGGCGCGGACGCCATGGAAGCGGAGCGGAGCGACAGCCGGAAACGCGGACGCTCCAGGGAAGAGGGGACCGACACGTCCGGCGAAATGATGCCACCAAAGGTGGCAAGCAGCCGCCGAGGGAGGGCGCGTAAACCGGCCTCGGCCTCGGTCTCGACCCCGTCAGGCTCCGCGTTCTCAAACGCGGAGTCCTACAGGAGCGTGCGAGTGGACGGCGAGGCCGTAGCGGAGGAGGAGATCGCGGATCTCCTGCTCAAGGTTCGGGAGCCGGTGGGGGGAAATGCCCCCCAGGCTCCCGTGTCCGTGCAGGAGAGGGCGAAAGCGGCGGTGGCCGTCATCAACAAGGTGGCCACCAAATCCGTGAACCTTAAGGGCTCGTTTGTGAGGGCCCTTAAGGACTCCTCCTCCGCTTTGTCGGAGGTCGTGGAGGGCCTAGCGGGCGACGTCTCTCGCCTGCAGGTGGCCAACGAGAAGCTGACGGAGCGGGTGAACGAGCTGAGCGCTCAGTTCGCCCGCTTCCAGGCGAACCTCCCCGAGCGGGAAGCCCCGTCCGCGTCCCAGCCTGCCCCTACCACCAACTCAGGGGCATTTGACTCCCAACTGCGAGAAATCCTCATCGCAGTTGGGAATATGCTGGACGGACGCCTGGCTGGCCTGGAGGCGAGATTGCCTCCTGCGCCGAGTATGCGCCCCCCGCTCGCGTCGACACAGCGGCCTAAGGCCGCCGCTCCGACCGCGCTCCCCGTAGTGGGAGGCCGCGTCTCCTACGCGGCGGCGGCGTCTGCCCCGACTCCATCGGCTCCCCAAAAGCCGAGGAGGGGGGCCAAGGCACCGGCCCAGGCGCCGGCCAAGGCACCGGCTAAGGCGCCGGCCAAGGCACATCCCCAGGCGCCGGCCAAGACGGGGCCTAAAACGGCGCCGAGGAGCGGAGTGGCATTCCCTCCGCTCCCCACTCCGACACCCCTGCCGGGCCCCTCCGCACCTGCCCCCTCCAACGAGGGCTGGCAGGAGGCGAGGGGCTCCAAGAAGTCCCGAAGGCGGGCCAGAAAGGCTGCCCAAAAAGCAGCCCAAGCCCAGCCTTCGCCACCGGTGACAACGGCCTCTGCAAAGAGGCCGCGGAAGCTGCAGCCGCCCAAAACCGCGGCTGTAGTTGTGACCGTGTCCCCGGAGGCGGCTGACGGCGGGCTGTCCTATGCGGCCGTCTTCAAAAAGGCCCGGGACAGCCTCGCCAACGAGTTTGGGACGGTGGGGGTCAGGATGCGCCTCGCCCAGACGGGAGCTCGAGTTCTCGAGTTCCCTGGGGCTGAAGGCGCAAAGACGGCGGACTCCTTCGCTGAGAAGCTGCGGGGAATATTTGCAGCCACAGATGGTGTTAGGGTCGCCAGGCCTACCAAGTGCGCGGAACTGCGCATCTCGGGCCTGGACGACTCAGTGACGGCCGAAGATGTCCGCGCTGTAATCCGGGAGAAGACGGGGTGCAGCGCGGACAACGTCAGGGTCGGCACCATCCGCCCCGGTCCAGGGAGGGCTTGGCGCCGTGTGGGTCAGCTGTCCCGTAGCGTCGGCCAAAGTATTGGCCGACGCCGGCAGGCTGCTCATCGGTTTCGTGAGCGCCAGGATCACAGTCCTGGCGGCGAGACCGATGAGGTGTTTTAAATGCCTGGCCGCGGGACACACGCGCGTCAAGTGCGACAGTTGTTTTGACTGCGGCGGACTGTGTTTCCGCTGCGGTCAACCGGGGCATAAGGCGGCAGAATGCTCTGCCGCCCCTCACTGCCCAGCGTGTGCGGCGGGCAATAAGCCCGCCAATCACCAGATGGGGCAGAGAGGCTGCAAGCCTCCCCGCAGTTCTCGGCAGACGTCAGGGGCTAGCCAGTCGACCCAGGCTGCCTCTGATATAGTACGTGCGTCGTCGTCGTCGCCCATGGAGGAGGTTGTAGAGACGATCCAGTAATGGATCAAGTCTCCAACCTCCTGGTCCAGACGAACCTGAACCACTGTGCCGCGGCGCAGGATCTCTTCCTGCAAACCATGGCACAGTGGTCGATAGGTGTTGCCGTAGTCGCGGAGCCCTATTCTGTCCCTCCCCGTCCAAACTGGATGGGTGACTGGGACGGCTCCGTGGCAGTCGTCGGTTCCACGACGGCTCATTCCCCGCCCTTGTCGCTAAGAGACAAGGGCACTGGATATGTTGCCGTCGAGTGGGGGGGATCACCATATATGGTGTCTATTTCTCCCCCAACCGGAGTTTGAACGACTTCGAGGTTTTCCTAACCAGCTTGGAGACCTCGATACGGCGACTAGCGTCTGGGCACGTCCTTGTGCTGGG